GACGCGACACTGCAGCTTTTAGCAAATGATCGGAGCGGCAGTGACGGTGCTGTCTTACAAAAAAAAAAAAACATCCTTATATATAGGGTGTAGGGACCACTCCTCCTAGAGTTTCTAACCCATTAGATCTTAATTATTTTAGGCGCAGATGTTTAACTGCCATCGTCAAACCACTGAACGACAATTTTGTAACGCAAAAATCAATGAGTGCGAAGGTAAATTTAGCAAATTTGTTCCATCTTCATTATTCATGACTTGCACTAGTTGCACTGAAGAATCACGATGTTCTGACCACGCTAATTACTGATTTTCCAAAAAAAAGAAATTATGTCAAATTTGCAGAGCTTTTGATTTTACAAATTCCGGAAAAAAAACTATGTAGTGCTGTCATTTAGCTGAACAAAAACATCAATATATCGATTTTTTGCAGATTCCGAAGCGTTCAATTCAAAATGCGCCGTGGGATCATGGGAAGCTTGGAGCGAATGTTCCGTTACTTGTGGTCATGGCACCAGAACTAGAACTAGGTAAACTCATCTTCCGCATATTTCCCCTTCTTCCAAACTTTTCAAGCTTCAACTTTTAGAGCATTCTTAAATCCCAATCAGGACGAATCCGAATGCAATGTGGACCTAATAAGAAAGGATATTTGTGTGGGTAAGCACGAATTAATTTCAATTTTGAACAACTATTAGCCTTCTGTTTGTAATTCGTCGCTTGTAGGAGAGTCAGGCGATGACTGCTCAGTAACGCCGGATCCTCTTTGCAAGACCACTTCATGGAGTGAATGGTCTCCATGTAGTGCTAGCTGTGATGATGGAGTAAGAGTTCGAACACGCCTGTTCTTCTTTGCTGAACATGAGCAGGTACACAACCTAATCGATAAAATCAATAACCCCAATAACAACCCCAGTTTTCCGCATTTCAGCGCTGTTCGCATATCGCTCTACAGGAAAAAGACAACTGCATCCTTCAATCTTGTCGTCGTTTTCTTGAGCAAAACTCTGAAGGTGAACCAAAATCCTTAT